GCTAATCTTCATTTTATTCAAAAAATAGATATATACAAACTGATTATGTAAGAAAAAGCATATATATCAAGAATACAGATAGAAAGTCGAGAGGGAATTTCTGTAACGTTAGAGTGAGCATGTCTATGAAAATATATAGATATTTATTCTGATATGAGATCCTTCAAAATCATCTTAGAAAGGCGCTCCATAGGAGTTGGAAGGGGCAGCTGGGGCACCGTATCCGTTGCCGTTGCTGCCTCCGTTTCCGTTCTTTCCGTTTCCGTTGGAACCGTATCCATTGCTTCCGTTCCTACCGTTTCCATTCCTTCCGTTGCCGTTGGAGCCATAACCGTTACCGTTACCGTTGGTGGCGGGTCCATAGGCGTATCCGGCGTCGGGAACGACTCCGATGAGCTCGTTGACGGAGTAGAAGCTCTCAGCTTGAGAACAGTCCACGTTGAACCACCAGTCACATACCAGGTACTGCTGGTTGAAGATGGTACCGTTGGGGCACAGGAAGGAGTCCTGTTGGCGCCTGAGGGCGCGGTCCTGGCAGATATGGAACACCTGGCAGCCGGCTTCAGCTGCAGTGTCGGCGTAATAACCTTGCACCGCCTGGGCATCGCAGGAGAATCCGGTGTCGGGCACGGAAGCCAAGATGGGGTAGTCCTCGCCGGGGACGCCGCCCCCTGGAATGTTCTCGGCCAAAGCGGCGATCTCAGGGTCTACTCCGTAGGCGCCGTTGGGCGTGCCATAGGTGTTGCTTGGTGGCGCATAGCCGTTGCGAGGGGCAGGGGCTCCGAAGCCGTTTCCGTTTCCGTTGAATCCGTTGGTGGGTGCTGAATACCCGTTACCATTACCATTTCCGTTACCGTTTCCGTTGAATCCGTTGGTGGGTGCCCCATACCCGTTGCTGGGAGGCGGAGGTGCTCCGTAACCGTTACCATTTCCGTTGAATCCGTTGCGGCTGTCGGCCACAACGACGCCAAGGATTGCTGTAGAGATATATAAAAGCATTAATATGAAGAGCAGTGATAATTGCTGGGAATCCACATATTCCAAGAACTTCAATAGTGTATAGGGAAAGCTATATTCTTCGCGGCTATTGTATTAATATATGGAGACAAAAGGTAAAGATAATGACGAACCGCAGAGAATGAGGGACTTCATGGTGAGGCCTTCGAAGCGGGAGAGGAGGAGGGAGAGTGACGATGAACCGACTGGCGGCCGACCTTTATACTCGAAGGCGCGGTTCAGACTCCGCCCACCGACCTTCGTTCTGACTTGGTTTAGCTGTCGGTGTGAAAAACGAGGTCGCTGCTACGGAAAGAGCATGATGTTTAGGAATATATATATATATATATATATATATATATTATATATATATAATGTATATATATATATATATATATATATATATATATATATATATATATATATACATATTTGGATGTATATTTACATTTATATAAGTAATCTATGAATAAAATACATATGATATATATACATACAGTATATAATATATACATATGCATGCATACATACAGACACGCATATATACATGCCCACATACACACATACATACCTATATGCAGGCACACACGCGCACACATCTGTGAGTGTGTTCAAGCATAATATGTACATACATACATACCACAAGATTGAAATTCAGTTATATCGTTAATATAGTAAAAAGAGTATAACAGAGAGAAATAATATTCATATACATTAAAATACATGACTGTACTGCGCGAATCTTAAGAAAGCAGAAAAGATCTCCGAGTTCAATTAATTGAAGTAAAAATATATAAATCATTAAAAGATATTGGAATGTTGCACATAGTAATGTGTAAAAAAAAAAAAAACGTTTTACAAGACACAAATGGTTATATGACTATGATAAAAATGTTGCGACAAAAACGTTTTTATGAAGAACTGCAGTGAGATTTTCTCTTCGAAGTACGCAGGGAGGGCGTTCCAGTTTTCAAATTTTCAAATTTCGAAATGTATCATTCGTGCGATCACCTTTCCACTGACCGGATGTAGCGCAAATAGTCAGTTTTTTGTATGATGTAGAGACTTTCCGACTTTCTTGGTAGCAGAATGTATATGCTTTAATAACTTAAAAGAAGGTAAATTAGTGAGAAATATGGCCGTTCATATTTGAAAGTGAATCGCGGTTCTGATGAAGGATACCAACTTGTTTATTGATTTTCTTAGAAATGAAGCTGACGTGAGGCTTCAAAGCTTAGTTGGATTCTTTTTTCATGTAATTTTGTTTCTGGGTTTTGTTTTGAATATTCTGAGATTTTGTTTGTTTGGAATATGACGGAGGAATTAATGTACACAGTGTAAGTTTTTTTGAAGCCATTCACTCACACGTTCTAGTTGAGCAGTCGTTGTTGAAATGAAGTGGGAGTGAACTGTGATAGATTTTGAGATTACTATCAGTAAATAAAAGGAATTTAAAAGGTTTAGCAGCCTCGACAATACTGTCCAGATATAAAAGGGAATAGAAATGGGTCCAAATGGATCCCAGTGGGACTCCATGGGCCTTTGCTGCTCGGGTAGACTAGCCACCCGTGAATACAACAAAGTGTAGCTTATTACTTTTATGAGCGAGCCACTGATTAGGAGTCCCTCGAATGCCATATTGCTCTAGTTTACTCAAGAGAATGGTATCTACCATATCAAGGGGATTGGATAGGTCTAGACGATATCAGTTGGGAATTTTCTTTCGTTAAATGCAGCATAGGTGTGATTGATGAGTGAAATAATTGCTTTTCCAGTTGATTTTTTTTCTTAAACCTTACCTGTATTGATTAATATCTAATATCTCGTTTTCTTCGTAGATCATATCTTTTCATTTTATTTATTTATTTATTTTATTATTATTATTAGTATTATCATTATTATTTATTTATTTATTTATTTATTTAAGATTTTTATGAATGGAAGGCTTATCTCCGCGTTTAAAGATTGGCTGTATCTTGGCAGTCTTTAATGAGTGTGGGAAAATTCCTTTGGTTAATGATGAGGTTATGAGGTGAAGGAGGAGCTGAATGATACAAGAGAACAGTTTTTATAAGATCAGTGCAAGTGTTTCTATTTTGTGCTGACTTACTGTATCGAGCATTTTTTTGGTAGTTTGAAAAGAATGACAGCATTCTGTTGATGACTCGTGGGGAAAGTAGACGCATAGGCTGAGGTGTCGCGCGTTTGTGTGCGTATACGTATATATATATATATATATATATATATATATATATATATATATATATATATATATATATATATATACATACATATACACACACACACACACACACACACACACACACACAGTATATATATATGCTCATACCGTTAGGTATGCATGTGTGAATGTACACACACACACACACACACACACACACACACACACACACACACACACACACATATATATATATATATATATCACATATACAAGTATATATGTGCGTGCATTCATATGTGTGTGCACGGCACATGTGTGCATGTATGAGTGAAGGATTCATGCTGAACAGACATGAATGCGTGTTATTTGTCTCTGTATCTTTCTATATCTACATATTTATACATACATCTACAATATAATGACGATGATGGCAATGCGCGTAATGAAAATAGCCTAATACGAATGATGTTGGCATTAATAACGAGAATAACAAGATATTATTTAAATATACCTTTTTGTCCGTGGAAGCGATAGCGATTGTTATGATAATATCAATAAGAATAGCAACGAGAGTCTCAAATAAAAGTGTAATAATAATGATAAAAATGTTATCATACAGAAAATATCTCTCCATTTTATTCCAAAAATAGTTTTATACATAATAATTATATAAGAAAAATCCGAGACATACAAGCATACAGATATTTACATATATGTAAGCATATTTTTAAAGTCGAAAAGGAATGTGTGTAACGTTAGAATAAGTATCTGTCTATGAAAAATATACAGGCATTTATTCTGATATGAGATCCTTCAAAATCATCTTAGAAAGGCGCTCCATAGGAGTTGGAAGGGGCAGCTGGGGCACCGTAGCCGTTGCTTGGAGCAGGGGGAGCACCGTAGCCATTGCCGTTGCTGCCTCCGTTTCCGTTGTTTCCGTTTCCGTTGGAACCGTATCCATTGCTTCCGTTCCTACCGTTTCCATTCCTTCCGTTGCCGTTGGAGCCATAACCGTTACCGTTACCGTTGGTGGCGGGTCCATAGGCGTATCCGGCGTCGGGAACGACTCCGATGAGCTCGTTGACGGAGTAGAAGCTCTCAGCTTGAGAACAGTCCACGTTGAACCACCAGTCACATACCAGGTACTGCTGGTTGAAGATGGTACCGTTGGGGCACAGGAAGGAGTCCTGTTGGCGCCTGAGGGCGCGGTCCTGGCAGATATGGAACACCTGGCAGCCGGCTTCAGCTGCAGTGTCGGCGTAATAACCTTGCACCGCCTGGGCATCGCAGGAGAATCCGGTGTCGGGCACGGAAGCCAAGATGGGGTAGTCCTCGCCGGGGACGCCGCCCCCTGGAATGTTCTCGGCCAAAGCGGCGATCTCAGGGTCTACTCCGTAGGCGCCGTTGGGCGTGCCATAGGTGTTGCTTGGTGGCGCATAGCCGTTGCGAGGGGCAGGGGCTCCGAACCGTTTCCGTTTCCGAATCCGTTGAAGTTTTGTTGAATCCGTTGGTAATACCCGTTACCATTACCATTTCCGTTACCGTTTCCGTTGAATCCGTTGGTGGGTGCCCCATACCCGTTGCTGGGAGGCGGAGGTGCTCCGTAACCGTTACCATTTCCGTTGAATCCGTTGCGGCTGTCGGCCACAACGACGCCAAGGATTGCTGTAGAGATATATAAAAGCATTAATATGAAGAGCAGTGATAATTGCTGGGAATCCACATATTCCAAGAACTTCAATAGTGTATGGGGAAAGCTATATTCTTCGCGGCTATTGTATTAATATATGGAGACAAAAGGTAAAGATAATGACGAACC